CTTGGTGAATAGATCTAACTTATATTAATAATAATATGTTTGAGAGGGTTCTTTTTACTGAGAGTCTACAGTAAGACTTTAGTTGTGTGCGTTTAGTTGTGTGCGTTTAGATGCTTATTACCTTATCCAGTGGTTATCCAGCTGTGCAACTTGCGCAATTTTTCTACAATTCCATATTCCTGCACTGTGCTGCGCACATACAGCTTGCACCAACTGTGCCAAAGTCCACAAGTTCGCCTTTTACGTGGCATTGGATTGTTTATGGCCTAAAACTATTTTGGTTGCAACAAACACAACTAAAGCTTTTTTCATATTGCCGCTGTAACCAAAGTATCTGCGCCGCTTTGTGTGTCTCCGTTGTTCAAACTTTAACATGCTGTCGATGGCGCCTCTTATTTGTTATGGTACGGGCGATAACATGTAACATGTACAGAAGTGACTTTTTTTTTGTTTGCGAGTCACTTCGGGTACCTTAATGTAGTCACTGTGGCCACTGGGCAACAGGTATTGCACTGCGTGCTCCAAACTGCTTTTTTATGCAAATTAAGATTTGGCCATGAAACATCTTGTTTGATGTTTCATAAAAAAAGTAGATACGACCTAATTGTCGCACTGCGCAATGTTTTTCGGTATGCCTATCTTAAAGTTTAATACAGTTAAACCTCGTTATAACGAAATTGGAGGGCCGCCGCTATTTGCTCGTTATAACCAATATTTCGTTATAGTCATAGCGGGCATTTACCGCAAATATTATGCACTGTGCTTACCCCAAAAAAATAGTGGGCGAAATAGCATCCCGCCGCACGGTGGTATGCAACAAAATAACCGCATTCCCAAATAAAAAGGAAAAAGTCATGCACCTGTTTTAATGCACTTCAATATACACAGCTTGCATTTCAGGCAGACTTAGCTGCAAAGAAGTCCGTAATTGGACGTTGATGCATCTTCCTGATGCGAACGATGGCTCGCTCAGCTGCGGCCGCAATGTTCAAGCCATCTTCGCCGTCCTCATGAGCGCTGAAGTTGCGGCGCAGTACGTCCACCACGTCTAATGCCTCCGGCGCCGTCGGCACGTTTGTCTCCTGTTCGTCGATAGAGTCATCGTCACTGGTTTCGTTACGATCACTGACAGCGCGCACAATATCGCCATCCAGGAGCTGCTCCGTTGCCACCACTTCCGAGTGCGCACTCACATAGTCGCAAAACGTCTCGCTGTCAGGCACGACACCGGCGTCACGAAGTACCGTCCATGATGCAGCGACTTCGTCTGATGTGGCAAAACCGTCCCGCACAGTGGGCTCGTCTGATGGCTCATCGCTGGCGTCTGGTGCGGCGGCAAATGAGGCGTGTCGAAAGCAGTTTGCGATCGTGGTCGCCGTCACACTCATCCACGCCGCCTGAAGCATTTCGAGCGCAGCTTACAAGTCAACATCGATGTCTCGCTTCATCCTCATGTTGAGCAGGAGCTTGTCTATCACACGCTTGCGGTAACCTGCCTTCAGCGACATAATCACGCCTTGGTCAAGCAGCTGTATTTTTGCTGCTGTGCAGTTGGCAGGAAGGAACAGCAGCTCGATGTTTTGAAGCATGGCAGTGGTATGGTGGGCGGTGCAGTTATCTAAAACAAGGCACACCTTGCGGTTCGCCTTTGCCAGCTTCTCGTCCCATTCACAAAGCCGTTTTGAAAAAATTTCCCTGGTCATCCAGGCTTTGCGATTGGCTACGTACTTGACGGGGAGCTGCCTCTTCCCCTTAAAGCAGCGAGGGGATGCACTTTTGCTAATTACGAAAATTGGCAGCTTCTCAGAGCCGGTCATGTTTGCACAAAGTAGCGCAGTAATCCGCAGCTTACTTTGTTTGCCGCCATGGCACGGCTCGCCTTTGAGGGCTAACGTCTTGTGCGGCAACATCTTGAAAAAGAGAGCGGTTTCGTCCGCGTTAAAAATATCCTCCGCGCTGTATTTTTCTAGCAGCCACACAATGTTTTCTTTCGCCCACTTGGTAGCCTCTGCTTCGTCGACAGATTGCGATTCGCCGCAGACCGCTCTCCCGACAATGTCGTGGCGCTCCTTGAAGCGTTGGAGCCAAACCGAACTTGCTACGAAGTTGTCATAGCCCATGATGCAGGCAAAGTCTCTCGCTTTTCTTTGCAGCAAGGCGCTGCTCACTGGCAGATTCACGGCCCGCGTGTCCAAGAACCATTTAAAAACGGCCCTTTCGACTGCTTCAAAGGCAGGTGCCCTCATCCTCTTAGCGCTTCCTTTCACGCCACGTGCAACAGCGTCGATGATGGACTCCTGCTTGCTCAAGATGGTTGACAGTGTGCTCGTCGATACGACAGTCTCTTGCCACGTTGCTTTTCTTGGTCCCTGATTCGACGGCTCTTATCATAGCCGCCTTCTGATCTAGCGTTATGCGCTTTCGCTTCCCGCCTGGCGCATTCATGTTGCTGGAATCACGAGCGCAGCACGATAAAAGATAAGGCGGAAGCGGTCGAAAAAGAGAAGAAACACTCACTTAAAAGCAACGCGGCTCACGTCGGCGAGCGACAACACTTGCAGAGAAAGTGACTGTGAAGAGGAAGGGGCAGAAGAGGCGCTCTTTTGCGCTGCCCTCTAGGAACCGGTTACTCAAGGGGAAGGGGGTATGTAAGATTAGGAAGTGCGCCTCAGCGCCATGAGAAAGGGGAGAGGGAGAATATAAAAAAACACAAAAGAAAAGAAAACGGCGAGACGGTTCGCGGAGCTGCGGAGCGCTCCGCTGTTGGTGGTAGTCAAGCGGCGCACGTGCAGCGACCTCTCCTCTGGAAACAGCGCGTGCAGTCTGCTTTGCGCGCGTTGCTGGAGGGCGCGTGGCGGGAGTTTTGAACTGCTAAATACAGTTCTCGCGTTGCGCGCCGTCTCAAATTCGCGTTGTGCACTGTCGTGACATCGGCTCAAAATTTTACTTCCTAACAAAATTTCTTCGTTATATCCCATAACAGGCAAATTTTGCCTCGTTAAAACGAGGTTTTGAATACATTGGTTTGTATGGGGACTTTCAAGGGGAATTCGGATTTGCTCGTTATATCCATTATTTCGTTATAGCCCGTCTCGTTATAACGAGGTTTAACTGTATACACGTAGAGCGCGTCCTGCACGATGAGGTGCAACTGCTGCTTGCGAATGTTCAAGGGTTCGTCGCGCATATTGATTGCGAAACCTCTGAATTCCGGGGACTAGCCAATGAACATTGAAATTGAGCCGTGAAGTCAGCCACAAATAAAGAACAAGTGCTCTCATGCCTCCTTGATGCCGTTAGAACAATTGGTATTATAGTCAGTTGACCAAAAAAAAAGTCGATACCGCAAGGGTGAAGCAGTGAATGCCATAGAAACATATTGCAATGTTATACGAAGTGAGGCTGGAGGCTTACTCTTTAGGATCCGATCTCACGCAAGTCTACGAAACGCTGGATCAAGAGAGTACAACCGCTCCAGGATTACGCTTCACACATACTTTTCTTTCCATTTTGGAATGGCGGCCTGCCATTCCAAAAGGCGCTGCGCTGTGCTCCTTAGGCTGCTTCATCTTCTTTCGTGCTGATGGCTGCCTAGATAGAAATATAACGAGTGGGCAAGCCACCACTGCGTTCGTAAAATCAAGTCTCGGTTGTTGCTGGAGTGACAGCCCCCGACCACTCGCGTCCTTTGATCCTAGTTAAAGATGGGCGGGGGGGCTTTCCTCTCTGGTGAGCATTTTACGGCTAGTCTGAAGGATTGGGGGAGGAGATCTTATCTCGTGTGCCTCTGAGTGAAGCAGATGGGGCGACATAATTGCTATCACAGTAAAAAATTAAATGTGTCCCTGGCTTGTAAATATTTCCAAGTGATTTCCTCGCACTTGTTCAGAACTACGGTTGCCAGCTGGCTCAGCGCGGCTGCTGTTTGTTCAGAAATCCGGAAATCGCACCCTGACTCCCTCCTCTCCCCAAATAAAGAAAATGGTAGCACTCCTCCTACCTAACCAGTCGGTCACCATCTGTCATCTTGCCTGTTAGCATAACGCCATAGTATTCCCCTACCGTGTCAGTAGCAGGGGGCTTGTACTCGCCCATTGCACCTTGACAGCATAATTCGGTGAAAAATTCGTGAACACGTGGCGTTGCTAAAGCCAACATTTCGACAAACGGGCTCGTCTCCTTCATGGCTGCTTTGAAGAAATGCATCCCCCCCTTCATGTTTAGATTAATCACTGACACCATCTCCTTCATACCAGCTGTTTAAATCATGCCAGTTTCATTTTCTGAATACTTCTTTTTTTTCTGAATCTGGAAAATAAGAAGTGCTGAGCCCAAATTTTTCTAAATTTAAAGACAAATGTCGCTTGTTGCTTGCACCTCTACTAGTTATTAAGGCGGAGCATCATTCAAAGGGATTCGTGATGATTATTTAATGCACAATCTACATAAACAATTTCAAACAAGATGTTCTCACTTGCAACGATCAAGTTTTCTTTGTCTTCATTCTTTGTTAGATTTCTCGTTTTCTAATTAGGTCTTTTTTTTTTGTACCTTGTGACACCTGTAATATCGCAAAAACAGTATACACCATGCTTACCTTGTCACTAACACATCTAACTGTGCTTATCACTAATGCTTCACTTTTGCACATCATGCACATCTTGTGAAACCAGAATGTGACACATTTGTGCTAAGAACCTGATTAATGGCTGCTCTCTGGATCTCTGTTTTGTCTCCTTGTTTATCTTGCAGCAGAATTTCCAGTTTGCACACTAATAAGAGTATTCCCCAAAATTATAGATATGTTTTGCGCCAAATGATCCAAAGTTCTGTTTTGTGTGCTCAAAATCGGCTCCGAAACCCAGTCATGCTCCAAAAATTGCTCCAAGTCGTAAACTGGCTGGATCACCACTGCTTATCCCAAGTATTACACATTGCTTTTCTGCGAGTTTGTGTCCACTGAGGTAGTTGTAATCTGTTGCTTGTTTTAATCTTTCCAGCCTCCCTATACAGCGGAGAACAGGAAAAAGACTATAGAAAAAGTAGGTACCGTTTTGTTGAAGCAGTCTATGCTCACTCGCGATATGAACGTAAGCTTAGCCTAGTGCTCTCGATGTTGCGCTCTATGCAACAAGGGTAGTTTCCTCGGGCTGCACCTAACATGTTCTTGTAACAGTGTGGCAAGTGAGTGGCTATAGAAGCAATTGTGCTAAGTGGGCCGCCATTTTACTTCACTTTCAATGTATCTCAATTCCCCAGCAAAAAAATTGGGAGTTGACAAAATCGAAAGAAGTTTCTGAATTGACCGAATTCCTAATTATTGAGAGTATCAATTAAAGAATTAAAAAAGTGTGTTTACATCAATGCAGTGTTACTTTCCTGATCAATTTTTTTCGCTCATGCTTGCATTATGTAAATGCTGTACTCATTTCGCATCAAAGCAACCTAAAAACAACAATTTTCCTACTTCTACAGTTTTCTTTCACAGTGTGACTGCAGCGCAAGAATACCTAGTCTTAATTAGCCTCAAATTTGTTTTTAGCCTCTCCCTAATTACTACCGCTACTGCCACCACCACACGCACTTGATACTTCTCTTTGCTACTCCATGAAAGAAATTTTCCACCACCACTGAAGCAGTTGTCAACAACATGGTTATAGATGGCAACTAGTCCTTTTTGAATACCTGCAGCCAACGAGGTGTCACATGCAGTGGTTAACTTGTATAGGCATGAAGCATTGTGGTTTTCCTGTGTCGTTATCATGAGGTTTGCAGTGACAACAATGGAATTTCGGCCACCTCTTCAGGTTGTCTGTAAGCATCGTTTTAAAACCTCTTGTGTTGTAAATGTTTTTGAAATCATTACGGAGCAGAACGACTACAAACTGGTATGTTTGAAACATTTTCGTGGTGAATTAAGATTTAAGTTTCGCCCTGTCTGTTACAGATCCTGCGCTGTCGGCTCAACCTGCCTCCTTACTTGACACCTGACGCAAGGGATCTCCTAAGAAAAGTAAGTGGTATTGAAGAATGTTGCTTATATAATAATGCATATTTGCAGCAGTATGTTTTTAACTTGGCATGGTGACAGCGATACCTGTATTCCCAGGTGTGTTAAATCAAACTTGGGACGTTTCTAAAGAAAAAAAAGTCTAGAAGAGGAAAAGCAGGCAATTGAAATAAGTTTGGTTGTCCACCTGAAATCATCTTATGCTTGTGGACCTTGTTTTGAGTAGATTGCAGCATCCTCCAATATGCCCTACATTGCTTATGAGGTGCTTGAGAACACAGCAGAACTTAGTGTAAAAAAAGCTTTATAAAGGATCAGTTTTAGTGGCTCTTCTTTAAACTCGTAAATTGTTGGCCTTTACAATCATTGGCCTCCCCAAGACCAAAGAATCTGGCTGAAAAATACCTGTTTTTTTGTAGGCGGCACTCTTTGCTATGAGTGAGTTTGGTTACCGATCGAAAAAAAAAAAAGAAAAGAAAAATGCTGAGGGTAAGAAAAAGGCATTTTTTTTTTTCAAAGAAAATAAGTGATTAGATGGAAGGTCTAACAAAATTTTAGATTTACACTAGCCTCACTTTGTTGGTTGCTACCCACGGAGTGCTTACCTCTTAGTCAGACGAAAAAAAACCTGGAGATGAGTGAAGCATGTAGGGAAGGTTGTTTCTCCTCTGTTGATGTGAAAACTGTTGGGCCAGCAGTTGCCTTCTTCATTTTTAATAGACCGGTGGCCAGTAGTGGGATTTACCCGATTTTCGGGGTATTGTTTTGATGGACTGTGATGAAACGACACAGTGACGACATTCGATGCCGACATGCCAAGACCCATGGTGCTACGTCACATCATGATCACTGCTTGATCGCATCACACTTTTCTTTGACCTTGTGTCATCATGATACTGTGATGGGAATACATCGTCACATGAAGTTAACTTTATGATGGACCGTCACTACGTGACACACCACGATGACAGGAGACGTCGACGAGTCGAGCCCCTGAGGTGCTTCCCACCTGAAAAAGCCGACTTGCTGTTTCTTCCTCAGGCGACTACGGGGCCGTAAATAGCGGCGAATTGATACTTGTTTTGACAACGCTGAAGGGGGAATCGTGAAGTGACATACAGAGAGCCATATATGATCATATGCAGTTACATAAGGGCAGTGCTCTTAGTCTCACAGATGAGCTGTTATCACACTGGACTGAAAATGTTCCATGTGTTGCTTAACACTGTGCCGAGTCGGCAGTAGCAAATAAAAGCCCCGTGTCATCGATTCGTGCAGCATGTGTTGCAAAAGTAGCATGTGCGAGCATGTTGGCGATGCCTCTGCACTCCTTCCTGCGCCTCTGCGTGTGTTGAATGACTTCATTTCTTCGAGCTTTCATCTTGCCCTGAACTTCTCTTTGTTGCGGCAGTGTAACTGTTACAGTGCTCAGCTGGTGACCTGAAGGTTGCAGTTTCGATTCCGGCTGCTGTGGTCTCATTTCAGTGTAGGTAAAATGCTACAGATCCGTGTGCTGTCCTATGTCGATGCACGTAAAAGAGTACTGACACAGGTTTTACATATTTTCAGGTTGTCATTCTACATAAAAAAGCATGGGTGTCGAGAACCCTAAAGAGAGTGTCATCATTCTTGGGAATTCATTGGATATATGCTACAGTAAAAGCTCGTTAACCCAGATCTCACGAGACCAGTGAAGATGCCAGAGTTTACTGAATTCCGGATTATCGAATGAACTGTCGAAACAAAAGAAAAATGTATTCAGCACAGACAAACCATTATTTCATGAAAAACTGCATCAACTTTGTCGTCCTCGTCACCGGAATTAGTGCTAGAACGATCTTCTTCAGCTCCTTGTGATGGTGGGACGATAGGTTAGCTCCTGCTTAGCAGCAAAGCTTAGCCTGGTAATAAAGGATTTCAAGCTGGCTTTTTTTTAACCACTTTTATTGATCAGCCTGGAATGGATCCTTTCTTATTTGTGCGGATGGGAAGGCATAGCTGCTTAAAATGGGGCCACCTATTGGTTGCTGTTGCTCCCACGCATCCTCCACGGCTCACTGAACAGTCTAAGGCTGTTGTGAGGGTTCTGAATTGAGCAATACTAAGGCCCCTCTCACATTAATATTTGAATTTGACAGCGGAACACTCCTGCTTGGAGCGAGCGCCACAGCGCCTTCCAAAACTTTGGTCGCGATGTCTTACAATGTTTATGCAATGAGTGACGAATGACTAACACAAAAACAAAAGCAGTTTATTTACAGTTAACTTGAAAACAAAAAAGTTGTGATAAGAGGTGCGCCCTTGAGTAATCATGAAATCGCATTGCACTGCATTTCAGTCAGCTGGAGCACTTGAACCATCGGCGTGACCAACGTGTGTTCAGACTGGCTTGGCTACAGGTTTGGCTTGGCTGGAAGCCACCATCATTGCTAGCTGTGGCTTTAGCACGCAGAAAACTGCGTGGTCAAGTTTGTTGTCAGCCTGCGTTAGCATGATAATAGTGTGATGTATTGTGGTCTGTAGAAAATGAACTTTGCTCTATTAATTTATTATACACAGACCAAACTTATGCTGAATAATGGTCTGTTATAATGAGCGTAGACGATATTATTGCATCTCCTGAACTTCGGCATTGTTCGGATCGCCATGAATATTTGGCGAGATAAGCGAAAAAAGTGTGCCTTTGTTTCGAGAATCACGTTTTGTATACAGTCAAACTCTGCTTCAACGAACTCCGCTACAACGAAATTTCAGGTTTAACGAACGTTTTTCGGTTCTCTGCTCGCATCCTCTAATGTATTGAAAACTTACTCCACAACGACCCACTTTTTTATTGTTCTTCCGGTTCAATGAAATTTTCTCGGCACGTGAGTAACTTGACCAGCCACAAATCGAACAACGCTAACTGGTATACTGAAGTGAGAGCACTCTTTATCCTTCAAAACGGATCAAAAAAAAAAAAGTACATATGCCAATGGCTGTCTGCATTTTTTTTTCTCGCACTGTATCTAAAAGGAAATCCTTATTAGCTGGCCAAAAATCAGTCTATGTTAAGCATTTTCTTAGTTATCAGACAGTTAAAATGATTGGAAATGTGCCAAAGTTGACCCAAGTCCACGTAACCCGCCAAATGGTGCAAAACCATGACACCATGGGGGACGCCACGGAGGAAGGAAAGACGTCACTCGTTGTGAAGTCGCGATGAAGCCGGAAGTCGGCCATATTGACTCGGCAAATTCTCCTCTCTTGTTCATATCCGATCGTAAAGCAGAAAGCACGACTCTCTCTGGCTCGGAAAGCACGTGGGCTGCGCAGCGCGCGTGTCGTGACGATCCAAAACTAATGGTACGGGGGCTCAACAATCTGGGCCAGCGCGACACCTGCTGCGAAATCATTTCGTCCGAGTATCACCAGCGAGTAACAGCTCGCCGACAACGAAGTAAGTACAAGAGAACGCGTGCTAGATGCACTGACAACCACGAGTGTTTTCACTTCATTAATTCAGCAACTGTACAGACATCACGATCGGTCGTGCCCCTTCTTCCACCGTTGCATTCCGACACGAGGCTGATGCAGCGCCCGGCCACTGTGCCCGTGTTCCGCGTGGAACTCACCGGCGTCAGCATTCTGCGACCGTGGTGACTTTCAGCACGGTGCAAGTGACATTTGAACGCAGTTGCTCTAATGTTTAAATTACAATGCTGGGGGCGAGTATAACAAGCAGAACAGAAAATGTGTTTCATTATGTACATGCAAGTTGTTACTGTACACATACCAAACATGAAACCACGTATGTGCACATAGTACTCATTGCGTCTCGCTGGGCACAACAGTTTCGTCCGTTGCCACAAGCAGGAGCACTGCCCAATCGTCACTGACCTGCACGGCGTTCGTCGTCGTTCAGCTTCGTCATGGTGCCCAACGCAATTTCGCTGAACACTTCAAATGCTTCATTCGGGTCATCCGCCGCACAACAAATGTATATGCACTGGTTCTACGCACTAATCAAGACCTATGGTGGACGAACGGTTTTGTAAACGTTGCTAAGAGTACGGTAACTGCCAGGAGAACACTGCGTAACCAATAACGTGTCGCAGAGCAGGGATATTGTCCGCCACGTCTCAGCACGAGACCTGCGGAGGCACACATGCCGCCGCCAGCCGCGGCCGCTCACTGCTAGACCAGCTACACTGCGCAACACGTAACCATAGCAACGCCGCCATTGTGCCCAGTGAATATGGCCGCCATAATGTCATTTCCTCCACACTTTTCACGTAGCGCGCCGGCTGGGCATGCCCTCTTCTACCTTTCCTTCCTCCGTGGGGGACGCCATCGTTTGTGGTTGCAGCTTCGCAGCATTCCGTGAAACATAGAGTTATGTTGTGAAAGCCTGCGAGCTTGGCCCGCCGAAGCCGAGCCGAATCCACACGTTGGATATTGGGCACTGGTTCGTTTTTTTTCTCACGTGATCTGTGGTGTTAGCTGTGTTAGTCCTGGTTAGTCCCCGCTTCATGCCTCGTCTCGTTAGCTATGTATATAAGTAGTTCAGCACCTTGTTAGCTCCCACCTGCGTATTTTTTTTCCCCTCGATCTATGACAGCGAGGTTTTACGGCAGCACCACAGAGTAAAGAATGTGAGTTTCTTTCGCTAAAGCAGAAGGCGGAAATATTTGTCATGGTAGCAGCAGGACGAAAAAAATGAATGTATCGCCAAGAAATGAGATATCTCGTCGTGCTTGCTGTCAACAATACTGGAGTCTGAAGCGAGCATCTTAAATGCTCTAGCGTCGGGCACATCTGCCCATCGGAAGAAGACGACTCAGTCAGGCCATAAAGAAGTTGACAAGACAGTGTATGCCCAGTTTTGGGAAACGAGGGCTAAGAAGATACTGATCAGCGGTAGCCTAATTCAGCAGAAAGTGCTGAACTACGCCTGCATTTCGGGCATTAATGAAAACTTCAAGGCAAGTGCCGGGTGGCTCAATCGATTTAAAGAGCACCATGAGATCGTCGGGAAGGTGCTGTCTGGAGAGTCCACTTCTGCGGACTGCGACGGTGCGTCCTTGTGGATCGCTTCGAATGCTGCTGACATCGTTGAGAACTACGCTGGAGTCCGATGTGTGCAGTGCGGACGAGACCGGGCTCTTCTATGAAACGCTACCAACAAAGACTTCAAAGGCAAACAGTGCCGCGGAGGCAAGGAGAGCAAAATACGCGTCACCATGTTGCTTCGTGCAAGTATGGACGGGTCCGACAGACGGCCCCTTCTAGTTATGGGTAAGAGCACCAAACAGTGGGGCTTCATGGGTTCACGAAAAACCTGCCAGTGAAGTACGTTCCCAACAGCTTTTTATGGTTAACGAGGGCCATTTTTACCGACTGGATTGTTGCGTTCAACATGAAAAAGCAAGACTGCAGTGTTTGCTTGCTGCTGGATAATTGCTGAGCACATCGCCTGGACCAGCAACGTCAAGCTGACAAACATTGCAGTGAAGTTTTTTCCGTCAAATTGCATGTCGCTGATTCAGCCATTTGATCAAGGCGTTATCAACAGCTTGAGAAAGCATACCGATCAAGGCTTATTCAGCGAATTCTGTTTAACACAGCATGGCCGCATCACCAATGTCGACTTGTTCATGGCTGTGCAAATGTTGGCCGCCGCATGGATGTCGACACAGCATGAGTTGTTGAGAACTGTTTTGGGCACGCAGGGTTTCGGCCCAAAGAGATGAACTTGGCCTGCACAAGTGACAACGTAAAAGTTGCTGATTGACGTTGGATTGGGGCAAGTCGCGGAAACTGCCGTAGCATGGGCAGCTCGCAAGGATGACAGCATGTGCCCGGGAGCGTTGCCCTGACCAATTACGTTAATGCAGACGAGGACGTGATCGTGTACGAGGAGCTGAGTGATGCCGAGACCCTCAAAAGTGCTCGTGTAACTACCGTCTCCGCCGATTCATCGAATGACTACGAAGCTGCACATGGTGTTCTGGCGGTCCTGACAGCAGTGACCACTTCACAGGTCATGGACTCTTTGGACATTCTGCGTCGTTTCCTTGATGCCCATGACGACGATGTCGCCCTGCAGCTCCTCACAGAATGTGAGCAGTGCATTCTGCCGTTGCTAGTGCGAAAGCACAAGCAGTCGAAAACAACTGATTTTTTTAAGTTTTGGAAATAAACTGCTCTCTTAAGTGTCGTGAATATCTTTTTCTCTTTATTTACCACTTTTTCAGTCATAACGAAATTCCTGCTACAACGAAAATTTTCCTTATTCCTGTTAATTTTATCGCAGGGGAGTTTGACTGTATGTTTTAATGTACCAGTGTCAGTACAGTGGGCAATTTCCTTGGGCACTGTTTCTGGACTACTGGCTGGGAAAATTCCGTTAATGGAATTTCACAACACTCGGATTCAAGTGTGTTGGTGAAATCGTTACTGTATTATGATACTTATACTAGCTGTCCCTTGCTAGTTGGGAAGCATTACCGCTTGTAGCATTAATATGAAGAAAAGGAAAAAACCATGCAAGTGGGTGTACCTTTTCTGGTGCAGCTGCTAAGGCGCAATGTGCTCCAGCGGCTGGGCAGCGGACCGGGCGATGCAGCCGACATCAGGGTGCACCCCTTCTTCCGGCACGTCATCTGGGAGGACGTGCTGGCAAGGCGCGTGGAGCCCCCTATCAAGCCACAGCTGGTGAGCCTCGTCATGGTTCTGCAGGGGACGAATCCTTCCCCCACAATGCTGTTGTCATCCGGTGTGATAGCTCATCGTGCTCTCTCTCAGGTTTAAGCATTGGGTGAAAGTGGTACCCACTAACTTCTGCTTTCATATCAAAAACAGCCAATGACAAATAGACCACAAAAAAATTAAAACTCTCTCTTGACACCCGAATTTATATGTAATTTAGCCCAGGTAGTAAAAACTGTAAAATTAGTTGACCCCTCCTTCCCCAACATCAAACTACCGCGAAATTTCGAGCAAGCGCCCCCACCCGTACAAGCGCCCGCCACCACAACTCCACTGGCAGTTTAAACTATTCGCGCCGTTTCAAAAAGGGGTTCCCCCCTTCCCCATCCAATCCAATAGAATCCTGCTTTAGACTGCAGCCTGTTTGCTCGACGCCATTTGTTGCTTTGTGTTTGCAGTGAGAGGTCAGCTATGCCTTTGCAGTCCTACACAGTGGCAAAAAAAAAATTGAGTTTTTATTTGATGGCATCGAGAAAACGGAAGGAACGTGCACCAGGTGTCTCCACATTTCAAGCTTGACAAAAAGGGGATGGAAATGGGAAAAGAATTTCGATAATTTGCTGCAGATAAACCACAGGAAGGCAAATTTTCGACAAACCAGTGTTGAATTTTGATCCATGCGCACTGGGTGTTTTTTTTTGTTTGGCACGAAAATTTTGCCGTCATCTTGAATTTTGGTGCCATTCTGAGATAGCGCCCCACTCCCCCACTTTGGTGGCAATTTCGACTTCAATGGAGGGAAGAGGGGTACCTGCTCGAAATTTCATGGTAATAAAAAATATGGAGTAGCTCAAGTATTGGAAGGCGTCTTTTCCATGAAAAAAAAAAAAAAGAAAACAAGGCTTGTACGAATATTCGAAGGCCTTGTATACTCACACGAATAATACAGTATTTGAGTTTTCTTCAATGTGAATTCAATTTATTAGAAATATAGAAGTATTTGAAATGAACGATTAGGTATATATTAGTCTATTAGGTATATATATATATATTAGTATTATGTGGTGATGTTTGCATCAAGTGTTTTATAGTCCATTTGCGAGAAAGAAGTAGACTGTGTCATCTGACTGAAAAGAATATCAGCCTCCCCAACCTCGGCAATGTTGTCTCCGTCATCTGGAAGGATTTCTTGTCTTGAGAATCCTGCATGGTGGAAGCACCTTTGCACAGTTGACACTTTCATGCATTATCAGGCATTGGTTAGAACGTGAAGAGCTCAGAGCAAGTTCACATTGTAATTTTTTTTGTTGTCTGCACAAAGAATCATTCGCTGGAGGGCTTGGCGGCAGTATAGAACCTTCAAGTTTCGAATTATGCACTGATCCATCGGTTAAATGATTACAGTCGAATTTGGTGGCAGGAATTCTAGGCTAATCGATTTGAGTCTATCGACTTGACCGTGAGCAGGGCATTGATCAACAATAAAAATAACTTTCCTGTTCTGCTGGGTAAATTTTCCATTCTCTTTGAGCAACCATGTCTTGAAGATTGCTTGTGTCATCCAAGCTTTCTCGTTTGCGTGGTAAGTGGCAGGCAGCATGCGCACACATTTGAAGCAGCGTGGGTGCTTAGATTTCCCCACGACTACCATCAACTTTTCGCTACTGTCTATGTTGGCACCTACTAGCACCGTAATACGATCTTTGCTTTGCTTTCCTCCGGCACAGGTTTCTCCCTTGTAAGCAAGAGTCTTAGTAGGGAGTGCTTTGTAAAACAACCCCATTTCATCAACATTAAATAGGTTGATCGTGGGCTTCCAAAAATTTTTGCAACCTCCCCTGTTGCGAGTGACTACGGATAGCTCTATTTACAGCCGCATTTTCTCCAAAAACTGTCTTAAAGACAGGACCATGCGGCATTTAAAGCGGCTTAGCCAGCCATTGCTCACCCAGAAGTCCTCGATCCCCATCCCAGTAGCAATCTCTTTGTCCTTCTCTTCCAAAATGGGGCCGCTTTTTGGGAAGTTCGCACTGCGCACTCGCCTAAACCAGAGGAAAAGAACATCTTCGACTTCTTTGTACGCCGTTGTTCTCATCCGCATTCTGTCTGTGGCGAAGTTCCCAAGCTTTACAGCTTCTTCAATCTTCCCTTTGTTCTCGAGTATCCTCAACAGCGTGGACTTGGGAATATTGAACTTCTTCGCAATTTCCGTCTTTGATAGGTCGTTCCAGTCAAGTTCTTGAATGATTTTTACTTTCGTTGCGAGCGAAAGTGCATTGTGCTGCCGTTTTTTTGGTTCCCTCTCAAGGTCACGACGAGATGTTCATTGCTGCTCGGCGTGCGCCAAGGTAGGGTGGCTAGATGGGGAGGTGTGAAAAGCGGCCGCTGAAACCGGTCCCCTAAGCGCGCCGATGCCGCTTGGAGCGCTGCACGCAGAGGCGCGGGTACCCTTGCACAGGCGACATACGAATGAGTGCGCACTGCTCTCCGCAGAAATCTTTCTCGCGCAGTTAGACGCCCGCCCGTAACCGGGGGGGAAGGGGCTTCTTCATGCAGTTAGACGCAGGCCCGTAGCCGGGTGGGAAGGGGCTAGGGGCCCTTCCGCCCTAGTTTTCAGCAAGTGCCCCCCCCCCCCCCCCCCCCCCCGAAAAAAAAATTCCTTCATCCACTAGCAGAAACATCTGTACAAAAGCCTCGTCTTGCTGCTCCGCCGCGAACGCATAATCTTGTGCGAGTCGCAGCTTCAATTCTCACTTGGCATTCAATTATCGGTTCCCGAACGTAGAAGTTTTAGCAGCCTACAATTGCTCATTAACTTAGACGAGTAACGCTATAAGAGCGCTAAAACTTGCGAATGCCACGAAGGCTGTGACTCGAGAATTGTCTCCAGCAGCAGAAATAGAGGAGACACTTTTTTTAACAAAAACATATCTTTATTTTCATGCATGCCTAGGTATTCATGCTCTGCCACTAGAGTACACATGGCTTAACCCTCTGCCCTTTCTTTTCGTCTTCTTTTTGGTTCATGCCTTTCAAAAAAAAGTGGACACGAGTGAGGCAATAAAATCGCACCACACTTTTGGTCAAGAGAGCACCATGCTTCGGGCAGCCAATTTGTTGTGTCTCGCCAATCCCCTTCAGCATCTCTATGGCCGACTTGGCGTGAAGACGTGCTGAGCTCAAGAAAAGAGTGATTTTATCCTCAAGGTTCAGGATGAGGGTAAAAAGGGAATTCGACGGATACAAAAGTCCACCGTGATCCCACAGCTTGCTTGCCTGGGCTGGGAGATTTCCTGGCACATTTTCTCTCGAGACAAGACAGGCGTTCTTGCACTCATCACAATTATTGCTAAGTATACACTTTCTCGCAACGTAGCCTGCGACATAATATACAAGGCGGGAGTCACTTCGCTCAGCAGTGTACGATGCATGATCTATCGACACTTCTACAGCATCAGATGGAAGTCTTTCGTTGTCTTCTTCGCCATCTTTCGCTTCATGCATCATTTCTTCTACGGACAAAAGAGACTCCACCACTCCGTCAGCCACGTTGCCGCCCTTGGGACTCTTCACCAGGCTACAGAAGCTTAGGCATCTATAAATAAACAATGCATAACTTACCCACAACAGCAGTCGAATGTAGTGAGACATGTAACATGTTTGTACGACAGGCAACATTACGTGAGAAAATGGATATTAATATACCTCATGATGACAACAAACTGTGCAGGGGTGGGGTGATCATTGCCACTTCCTGCTTGCCGCACAATTCCAAAACAGCGCTCAAGGCAGTCTTGGCTTAGGCGAGCCGCCATAATGTATTTGAAATGAATCCTCAGTCAGGTACTTCAGGAGGTGCTTCGTACTTTGCAAGGTCACACGCAATCCCACTGCGGTACTTTTGCTTAGAAAGCCAAGCCCTTTTGCATGAGCTTCCCACAAATCAAGGAACTTGAGTGCCTAGTCTAGCACAGCTTCCTTTCGGCTATGAAGTCTGAAACAAAGTGCATGAAACGTAGAAAAATTGATGCCTGGCCAAATTATTGACAGGGCAAATATTTCACTTTTACCGTAAAGCTTCTGCTGGGAACCTGGACGTCATAACCTCGATCAATTCCGCCATGAGACCAATGACAAGTCTTGTTGGCCCAACATTTGCGTATCGAGCCTCGATTTGATCTTTGTAGAAATCCATACATCGAGTAACTTGCGGACTGAAAACATGAAATGTCAAGTCCACTCGCATTTTTTCGAATCCATTTGGGAAGATATGCGATCGAGTCAACTTTGGTGCCACTTTCAAGGTGATGGCACTGTTGTCAAGCTTCCACATGGTTGACACATGCTCCCAGTGAGCCTGTAAAATTTGCATGTTGCATCAGGAACTGTTAAGCATTAACATTAGCGGTGAGCAGTACGTATTACGTATACAAATTCCACAGAATTATCAGAGCGAGCCTCCCCTTCCGTTGTGGGTGTTGAAGCCGTGCTTCATCATTGTGTTTCTCACACATTTCATCAGGTGAGGGAAATCCGAAATAAAGTACAAAAATCTGTGTTTGTCGCACAGATGAACGACTCTGCACTGAACGTCATTTAGGGTGGCGCGTATTCCAAGGATATTCCACATGGATCTGTTCCAGGGTGCACTGTCACAGCAAATGTAATCCAAGTAGAGGCCGACTTGCTCGCATAGAATTGTTGCCTCTATTAAAATTTTTGTCAGGAGCCTGGCTTTCACGTTCCCGCTGGACGAAAATACACCTGAAGGGAAACGGAACATTACAAGATGTTTTCAAAAATGTGCTTCGGCAGTACTAGAAATTATTACCAATGATCTGGGTCCATTTCCCCCAAATGGCTGGAACATTATGACCAGCCCATGGTCAGCCTTTTTCTGTCTTTCAGCGGCATTGGTGAACTTGCCAAGGTCTACAAAACCTTCAATATAAGTGGATGACTTCATGTCCAGATGCGCAGAGAGCTTCATCTCGTCCACTACTATGCCTCCATGCCTCTTCATTTCATCCAGGTCTATAACTTTGGCCTTCAGACAGCTGAGGAGTTTAGTATTAAACCCATAAGCAGCAGTGAATCCCTGTGAACAAAATAACATTAGGAACACTCTCTATTGCACACCATATACAGTCACATACCTTGATGTATTTTTGGAGGCAAGCACGACTTGGCAGTACAAGAATTTTGTGGGCTCTGCGATGTTCATACAGTCGTGCACTTTTCATTCTGAGGATGACACACTCAAGCAGCCATTCTTTATTGTAGCAATATCCCCGCAGTGACCTCCGTTTAGCAGCGTCAAATTAAGCCTTCACTGCAGCCTGTTGCTTTTTTGGAAGAAGTTTCAGCTGAAAGCAAAAGCTATCTTTTATTAATCTATTACAATTAAATGGGAAAATGTACCCTTTCCTCAAACACAGATGCATTAATTTGTGAAGTCTTTTCTCGCATCTTCTTCAGGGCATCCTGCAAGGTCAGTAGCTTCATTTTCTTTTTCTTCAATGTACAAACTGCCCATTTGAGTCGTTGCGCAGCTGTCCGTGCAAGTGGTCGCCTAATCTTTTTTTTTCAGGTGGAGAAGACGAGCCTTCAGAAGGTTTCTGCATTTTCTGCAGGCAGTGCAACGTCCGGATGAGCCATCTATAAAATGTACCATAATTGGTGAATAAGTTTAGCCAAAGCAGGCGCAGGTATCTTTAAGGTTAGGGCAATAAGGGTATTTAATAATACCTTGTAGCGAGGACGTTGCAGACCCATTGCAAGAAAGGGAGAAGACGTGGTTTTGAGATAGCTTCGTCATGCTTTCCAAATTCAATGGTTGGAACTCTCCCGTTTTCCTGATTCCTATGCAGGGTTTAAATGTATCTGCGTACATGAGCAGATCCTGTGCTTGGCTCTGTGCCTGAAAGTCACTTTTTTTGAATAGGAGCCCATTCAGGAAGACGCTGCACTGTGCAGCTGCTCCTACCTCGATTTCAAACAAGACTGTCTTGTTGTGAACAACAAAAGGTGTTGCATCCCTATCCAATTTAGCGGTCTGGTAGGATAATGCGTTCTTTTGCTCGAACGTCTGCATCGACCATAGCTCGCTAGGACAGCGAAGCACAACGCTCAATGAATGCAGCTGTTCGGTCAACATGATGCTCTGTTCTGAAATGACCACGTCATTTGCTTCTGCAGTGTCGTGGTTCACGCTCCTTCGTTTATCTGGAACAGCACTTTCGGTCATGCTTTTCCGTCTCTTTCTCTCCTTGGGCAGGGCTTTCGTCAAGTATTTGGGGAAATTCGGAAAAATCGTTGGTACGGCGTCATTTGTTAAGATCGGTAGAGCACGTGGCATGTATACGTGTTCCCCGTTTATCTCATGTTTGAACGCCCGCACAATAAACCTATATAAAAAAAAAGACAGCAAATCGGTTATGTTGCAATGCAGCATGCGACACGAGGGACGCAAGTAAGCAAAATTGGTCCTCTGTTCAAGAATGCGAACACTAAGCATTCAGTGTTTTACACATACCTTGGGTCGAAGTGCTTCTCGCACACGGCGGAGTTCTCGTCAAGCGACTTGTCCGCTCTTGGAATGGCGCGCATCCATTTTTCGAACAGCTCCTTACAAGTGCGAGCCCGAAAAAGGGAAACCTTCTCTGCTGACGATTTATAATATCTAGTGTTGCACCCAGGCACAAAGCACCAACGCTGGGTCTTCTTTTTTACCGTTGACATCCTCGGGCATTTCAGAGGGACGGAGCGCAAACACTGACTGATGGCATACTTGCAATGTAGCGACTGCTTGCGAAGAAAACCCCAGCGCACCTGCCGCAAACACAGGGAAGTGCGCCGCTTCTACCCGCGCCGCTATCAGCAGCGCCCCTTGCGGCATTGGCACGCCGAGTGACCCTCTACGACAAGCGAAAACCGCCCCGCTCATCACACCTCCCCATTCTAGCCACCCTAGCCAAGGTGTGTGCGGACATGTGCGATCACTGAATTGGCTTGGCTAGGCTAGCTTCGGTTTGTTTCATGGTTGCAAGACTGCCGTGGCCACTTCCGCCATTCATGGATTTTGCCCGCTTTAATTGCATTTAACCGATGTAAGCGAAAAAAAATGTTACGATTACCCAAAACTTTTATGATTAAGTATATAGGAGACCAACCAAATGTGCCTAGATAGTTTCGTTTATCCGACTTTTCCGTTTAACCGAGTTTCGTTTAATGGGCTGCATGTCGAAAATTGCCATGCGAAACCTGCTGGCTTTGTCTGCTTTAACCTGGCGTTCTCCACTTGCGCTTGCCCGATGAATAATTGCGGCCAGCCAAAGGGAAGACATGATACATGTCGCATTTGCCTCTGGTCGGGCAGTGGTGTTCAATAACTCCAACATGCTGCGAGTGGTTGGCCTTATCCAAAGTTCTGCATCCAGTCAGTTGCACTCTCTGGCTGTCAAATTGCTTTCTCTGATTCCGCTCTCACACGTAACTGCTACAGCTACCGTAAGCATCTATACTACAAGATTCGGTTATTCATTAATGATGAACGCTAGTTGCCAGGATGAAGATGTACGACTAAGCGTCAATGTGGTGCACCCACGTTTAAGCGGTGGTGTGACTGTCAAACACCATTAGACATCGCGCAACCTTTCTTATATCAATGCACAGTAAGCAATAAACTACTTCTGTAAGGACATGTTTCACTGTCATATTTTGCCGACTCCTATGACGGCAGCATCAACCTTTATTTTTTTTTCTTTGTGCCCAGCTGAACGATGAAGATGTGTCACAGTTTGACACCAAGTTCACCAAGCAGACACCCATCGACAGTCCAGATGATGGCATGCTTTCCGACAGTGTCAACCAAGTTTTCATGGTAAGTGCTGCACTGACCCGAGAGTCCAATGTTTTTGTTCTTTCTGTGTTTCATGGCATCCTTGTCATTCATTAGAGGTGTGGTGTGCCTATTGTGTGCCTGTATTGAATGTTAAATCCTGGCAAGACCCACATGTAAACGAGTACAAAATGCACCCTATTGACTGTAACAGAAGCGAATGAGCTCCTGTGGCTGTTGGTTAGCTGTTGGTGCACTCGAGCGTTTTGTATTTTTCCAGACTTTTGTGACATGAAGTCGGCCCTCACTATCAAACATCGAAGTTCAAGTTTTCTAAAAAGTGCAATGATACACTCAGTCCTTGATGACTACGTTTTTGGGTATCTTGGCTGTAATGTTGGCAACATGTGCCAGCCATATGTCAATAGGATCACCTGCAAGCCACTAATTTTTCTGTTTCTTTTCTGTCATAGCGTGAACTTCAGGTTTGTTTGTGTTGTCGTGTTTGGTGTTTGCACCCCCCCCCCCCCTTGTGATGGGGATGTGTCGTGCTCATTATGATGGCTCTTTCAAGGGGTGGGATATTTTGACAGCTGAAGAAAGTGGCTCCTGTCTTAAGCCTCTATGTGAGGCAGGCGACCATCTGCAAGTGGCGGTTCCAGAGGGAGCTTCTTTTCAGATGCGAGCACGGCTGAAAATGTTTTCACGGGCCTTGTCATGACTGCCGCCTTGAATTAAGCATCATGCCTTGATTAAGATCAGTGTCTTGTGGTGGTCATTCTTGAACTGACTCAATTCAAAGAGAGCTGTGTCGCTCGACAGATAGGTATCTCGTGAACATAGTTCAACACTTTATGTGGGTGGGTGAGAAGTATCACTTTTTAAGACATTGTATGAAAAATAAATGTGCTCTTTTGATATATCACTTTTTAAGACATTGTATGAAAAATAAATGTGCTCTTTTGATGCCTCTACTAGCCTTTCATTACTTTAGCAGTCTTCTGTTTCTGCTGGAGGCAATAAAACGTCACTCCTCACATTACAATCGTGGTTGTGTTCAACAAGTACAGTAACTGGCTGTTGGTTAATTATCCTAACCATGTAATTAGAGCCCACTTAGGCGATTTGCCACTATGGTATGCATGCAATCATCTGAAACAATTGAAGGCTGTCTGAGTGCTTCACGTCATTGTTCGTTCATCTGTTTGCTTTTATAACATGAAATATTAGTGAAAAAGTTCAAGAACACCAAAACAATATGCATGTGGCCAAACCTGAAATAGGATTGTAGCCTGTGGTTGTAGATTTTATTTGTAAATACACTGATCTACTGTGCCCAATCGCTTCATATTTCTTCGTGTGCTTTTTCACTTAATGGACTTGTGTGTGTAACCACTGTCTTCCACGCCGCACAGTATAGTCAAGCATTCAGAATTGTTTTGATTTATTTTGATAAGCTTCAGCATGGAATGCCAGCTTTAACGATTATTCTAGAACATGGTCACCAATAAAGCTTGGAATCTTTGATGCCACATGAATAAATGTCAACTGCTGATCGGATTACTCGACGGCCAATCACTGTTCTCTCCGCAATCAGGGCACAGCGTGTATCACTTGTATTTTTAGTTCTCATTTCCCAGGTGCCAATTTGCTGAAGCAAAGAACTAGCCGACTGGTTCTTTCAGGGTCACAACCACATGATCAATATTGTGCCTTTTTCAGACGCGAAGCAGCTTTTTGACTAGCCTGTGTAATGCTGTCCGTCCATGTCTCCGTGCCAACACATGGCACCGCGGTCCTCTCGGCGCAACTGTTGGGGAGATGCCAAGTATTTCAGGCCTTCTCTCGCCTGCCGCGCGCTCGCCGCATGGCACTTCTCTCTCGCTTCACTCTCTCCACCACTCGCAACGTTCGAGTGCACATTGAGTGAACACTCTTTCGGCTCGTTTATCTGCGATAGAGAGAATGCCGGAAAGCAAAGCTCCTTCGCCTGCCGAAACATCTGCCGAAGCGATTTGGCCTAACTTGGCATCACTGGCATGGCGAGAGTAAGCAGAGCCGATCGCATTCGGGCATGGTGACGTCGCACCTGCAGCACCGACGAGGGGTGAGCCAGGGAAGCCGAACGCAAGCATCGACAGTGGAAGACCAATGACACCGACGAGGTGCGAGTCAGGCACGCTGATCGTGTTCGAGAATGAAGACGGGGTGCAAGTAACATCGGCAAGATACGAGCCAAGGAAGCCGAGCGCAAGCGTCTTCAACACGTCGGCCATACCAATGAGACTCAAGCCAAAGAAGCCGAGTGGTAGCGCCGATCGCGGAAGTCCCGCACCGAATTCTCATGGTCATCGACAACATCCCGAAAGTGTGGTGCGCCCTCCGCTGAATCGACATGCGCAAAGCTACTGTTTCGCATCCCATCAGGGTTCTTATTGGGAAGATGCTAATTTATTTTCGAAGCTTAGCATGTGTAGCTCTTTTTCATGCCATTTCTTTGACAGAGTTAAATTTCTGACTTTCAAAAACTGCTGCAGAGTATCGGATACGTAGTCAGTCTCATCAGATGCTGCATACTGTCTAAAGTGTGCATGAAGCATGCATGTCAGCATGGCGCTGCCCCGCCACGGTGGTCTAGTGGCTAAGGTACTCGGCTGCTGACCAGCAGGTCGCGAGATCAAATCCCGGCTGTGGCGGCTTCATTTCCGATGGAGGCGGAAATATTGTAGGCCCGTGTACTCGGATTTGGGTCACGTTAAATCAATCAATCAATCAATCAGTTTATTATCATGTCATAAAAGGATGTTACAAGGAGTAAAATATACAGACAAGGGTCCCAAAGTACAAGACTGCAACGGGACCCTCGGTGATCATTACAAATAATAAAAGCACAAGCAGCTGTTAGAATCGTAGAAGCAAAAATATATAAAGCAGAATGAAAACAAAAAGGCATGTAATCAAAAAACAAATAATACAGCATAAAACAACACAAAGAAGATAGATCAACTATTTAACAGGTACTCTTTTAATGAGTTTTTAATTGAAAATAAAGAAACTTTGCACTTTAGCGAAGTGGGCAAATTATACCATATGGTGATGGTACAGAAGAGAGAAGATGATTTACCATAGTTAGTACAAACCTTAGGAAGTAAAAAGTTATTATTAGCCGCAAACCGGTTGTGTTAGTATTAACTAACATCTTAGGATCAATGATATTAGCAGAAAGTTGATTTCTTATTTGTTTATGCAGAAACATAATTAGATTAAACCTGAATAGATAGCTAACAGTTAAGATTTTATTGCATTGAAGAAGGGGAGCGGCGCTACTGTCGCGAGAACAGTTAAAAACAGCGCGAATAGCTCGATTTTGTAGATGTTGTACGGATGAAAGATGGCACTGGTAAGTATTCCCCCATGATGCGATGCCATAAGTGATATGAGAATGAATGAATGCGAAGTAAAGTGAAAGGAGTGCTTTATGAGAAAAATATGAGCGAGCTTTGAGTAATGCGCGAATGCCGAATGCTGCCGTTTTTCTAATGTGAGCAATATGGAGAGCGAAGTTAAGGTTAGCGTCGAGGTGAACGCCAAGAAAAGATACACTGTCGCTGTTATTAATCAAATGAGAGTCAACTGTGAGCTGTGGTGAGGAAGTTAACTTGCGTTGAGCTGATCTAAAAACCATAAACTTAGATTTATTTGGATTAATAATTAAGAAATTTTCCTGGCACCATTTTGACACGCTACAAAGTACAGCATTTAATTTATTAGTGACGTTGTCAATACATCTATCAGCAATGGAAATGGTAGTATCATCAGCATATAAAACGCAGTGAGCCATGTGTATAATGTCAGGAAGGTCATTAATGTAAAGTAAAAAAAGTAACGGACCCAGTAATGACCCTTGAGGAACCCCTTGATTTATTGTTTTAGTAGAAGAAAATGAGCCCGATATGTAAACAGTATGCTTTCTGTTAAGGAGGTAACTGTTTAAAAATTTGAGGGATGGACCTGTAATACCGTATGATTCGAGTTTCTTGGATAAAATGAGATGATTGATGGTATCGAATGCCTTTGTGAAGTCTAAGGAGACTGACCCTACTACAAATCCTGCGTCTGTGGAGTGTTTGATGAAGTCTGATAGGGAAAGAATACCAAGGTTAGTAGAACTTCCAGCGCGAAAGCCATATTGACAGGGCTTCAGTATATTAAATTTATTAAGGTACTTGTTTAGCCGGGTTATTAATAGTTTTTCGATGACTTTGCTCAGGGAAGAAAGAATACAGATGAGGCGATAGTCAGAAATAGATTGCTTGTCACCCTTTTTAAAGATCGGAAGGACTTTAGCTATTTTTAGAGAAGTAGGGAAACTGCCATGCTTGAACGCAAGGTTTATAATTATAGAAAGTGGTTCAGAAATAATGTCTACTGCAAGTTTTAAGTGTCGTGCTGAAATTTTATCTATACCAGGGCCGGTTTCTTTGAGACTTTTGATTGCTGTAGAAACATCATCAGGGCTCACGGGGAAAAGAAAAAAAGAATGATTAGAACGTTGTAGATTACAGCAAGAACTGCTATGTTTTTCACTAAACATTTCGAAAAAATAATTACTAAAAGCATCAGCAACACTTTCAGGGTTATCATGTGTAACACCTTTATATATGACTTTCTGCAAGGGTGAACTATGTATTGATCGATTTAGAAAATCGTTTAAGAGTTGCCATTGTCTTTTAGAGTTGTTCTTTTCACTAAATATTTGGTCATCATAATATTTTTTCTTGGCACTTTTCAAGAGACACGAAAGAACATTCGAGTATTTTTTATAGCATGAAGCTAAAGCAGTGTTAAATGGTTGTTTTTTGACTTTTTTGTACAGGTTATCTTTTCTACGCATACTTTTTAGCAGTCGCTCAGATAACCATGGGTTCTTAGGATATTTGTACCTCTTTTTACATTTGACTGTTTTAGTACATTCTTCTACGGCTTTAAGGAAAAGGGAAGAAAACTTGTTGAATGCCTGGTCTACATTGCATAAGGACGTA